TCAAAAAATGTTTTAAAGAACGAGTTATAAACTAGATTTGCTTCAGATGAAAAATTTAAATCTTTCCAGTGTAGTAAGGATAGCTGCTCATTAAACAACTTTATGTTTGCTTGGCTAAAGCATCGTTTGAATTAAACTTGATTTTGTTTCGGTACTAAGTCAATATCAATATTTATCGAGAACAAAATTGGGAAATGATCTGAAGCATCGCTTTTAATTAAACCCTTTTTGAGGGACTCATTTAAAGTGCCCGTAGTCATAATGTTATCTATTAAGGGAGCAGACATTGAAGTTACCCTTGTTGGTTTATTAATTAACGGATATGCACCGTTTTCAAATAGATCATTATAAAACCCATTAATTTTGCAATTTAAGTGATATTTAAATGCGTTTAAATTTATGTTGCCAGTTTTTTTTTATGATATCTGTTATTAAACATGACTTAAAACTATTTATTTCACCAGATGGTGGGCGATAGCAGCAACTTATAAGTACATTTTTAGTTTTTTTGGCTAAAATTTCAATTGTTAAGACCTCTTTATCGGCATCAGAAATACTCATGTCAGGCCTATTTATAAACTGCATTCCTTCGCTTACATAAAAAAGTACTCCACCGCCTCGTTTTTTAGTTTTGCGTGCAAAAAGGTACCAGATTAAAACCAGGAAGATGGAGATTTGAGTTAGATTTTGCCTCATCTGAACTACACCAAGTTTTAGTTACGCATATAATGTTAAAAATATTTAAAGTTTCCTCAATATTATTCCTAAAATTTTCAAAATTCTTTTTTAAACTTCTTATGTTAAAATGTATAACATTTAAGTGATCTCGTTTAAGAAATTCCTTTAGTTCATTGTTATAAAAGTACGAGCAGTTGCTTAACAAAGCACCTGCTTCGCTTAGATAAATTGAATCAGTCTTCTTCTAGCTCCGGTCATGTAATTATTTTTTATAAGTTACGACCTTAAATTTTTTTTTATTGGCAAAATTGTGTAAATAAATAAAGATGTTCATTTTCAAAGTAATTACCAGAAGAGGTGCAAAGCGTCCACTAGTATTAAAAAAACAGACACATCACCCCCCCCTTCCTTTAAAATCTCTTCGGGACGGCCCTGATCAAAAGAGATATTATGTGTGGCCTTAATAGCTTATGAAAAAAAGCCGTGGTTTAACTTCAAAATAACGGGGTTGTTATGGTGTTTAAGTTAAAAGTAGCAAAGTATTGACTTCCAAGTAGAAAGTATACCACATATATTAGAGATAGAGATTTTTTTGTTATTAAAGTGCTCCAAGAAGACCTATTGGTCTTATCACAAAGCACCGGGAAGGAGTATTTACCCAGGAAGTTTAACCCTTCTTTCTTGAAGTGGTTAGAGCACTTGCATCAACCACTACGCCACGGCCGCAGTGGTTAAAACAAGTGCTTTAACCATTTTGCCACGACCGCAGTGGTTAAAGCACTTGCTTTAGAAGCAAGAGAATCGTTGTTCGAAACAAGCTCTGAAAATATTTTTTACTTTGTGACAAGGATGTAAGGTCTTTTAGAAGCATAAAAAAAAATTAAAAAAAACTTTATGATAGGATGGAGACAGGGATACTTTTTGTTCCGTATCACTCTCTAGTTGACACACGTTTAAGAAATTTAAAAAAAACGACATAAAAAAATTAGAAGGAGCAGGTTGTTTGACAGAAAATGCAAAATTATTATGACAAACCAATCAAAATTACAATAATAAACCAATCAAAATTACTATGATAAACCAATCAAAATTACTATGACGAACCAATCAAACATAACATTGGTAATTTATACGCGATGAATATACTGTAGCAGCTATTCTTTTTCGCTTTTTTAAAAACTATGACATTAAAACACGCCATCAATTTTGTTTGCGCACCAAGTGTGCTTGGTGCAGGTTTTAGGCTGGTAAAGTAACTGGGTAAAAAATATTTACGCCCCACTCCCCTCGGGACGGCCCTGAAGGTGATAATATAAATAATGTATAGGAAACTTTGCCATACTTTAACAAATTTATTTTGCAATCCAATGAATTTCCAATGCAATTAGAATTTGAATGACGTGCCTAAAATTAGCATTTTAATATTAGTAAGACATATTATTCTTATTATATGCTTACATTTTAACAAACCTTATTTGTTAACCTACTCTTATCTACTTAATTAAAAATAGTTAGGGAGAGTAGATAAAAAGAGATTAGATAAATAGTTAGGGAGAGTAGATAAAACTAAGTTTTATCTACTCTCCCTAACTATTTAAAGTTTATGAAATTAGTTTTAAATATTTTATTTTCTGTTTATGCAACCCATTAAAAACGTTTGAAAATGCGTTGTGAATTATAACTTATTAATATAATTTGAAATAACCATATTTAAAACTTAAAAAATTCCTAAAAAATAGTATATTTAGTTATTAAAAAATATAAAATATATAAGAGAATATAAAAGGTTACTTCAAAAAGAGTGTAATACTCTGAAATTATGTCTCGTCTATGGGGTTCATAAATGCGAATTTCATAAAATGCGAATTGGCATAAATGCAAATTTACCGAAGAGCGAACTGACTCAAGTTAGAAGGAGTTACAATAACTGAAAAAAGTGCAAACTGGCACAAGTGCTAAAAGAATTTGGAAACATTAGCATAGAGATTCATACTTATGCCAGTTTTTGTAACTTCTTTCTCACTTATGCAAATGGTTGCATACTCTTTTGGCGCACATATGCTAGTTTGCACTAATGCCCGTTTTCAACTGCTGTGCATTTTTGAAATTTGTACCCATTAAGTCTTTCGGAAGTAACTATACAGTATCTATTTTAACTAATTTTCTTCAGTGTTAATAATGTTAGAGAGTGTGTCGTAGTCAAACCATTGTTTAAGAAACTTGGAAATATTTTCAAATTGATTTTAATCTATTTATTATGTATATCTTAACTTTTACTTATACATAGAAGCGCTAGAAAAAGTTTAAAGCCGTGTTACAAAAACCATTCCTGAAATTAAGCATTGCATCACCGAGCAGCGAAGACACTTTAAGAAAGAAGAATAAGAGGTGATTTAATTCTGATGTTCAAGTTCACGCGTGGATTTGATGAAATAAACGTTTATGTATTGTTCAATCGTTAAAGTATATTATGCTTGGTCATAATCAAAGACTTTTTACAATCAAATAATTTTTTTATAAGATGCCTTTTGTCACCTCTCAAAAGTGGAGAAAAGAACAAGCGACACCAGGGAGCACGTGCGCCCCCCCCCCCAATTTTTTTATAAAGGACCTTTTTTTTTAAAGAAAATTCTAGATATAGAAGACTTTTTTTTAAATTTAACAATTTTGCCCACCTCCCCACTTCAAAACTCGTGGCGTCGGCTCTGGTTGTAACTAAAAAAATAAGTAGGAAAAATGATTTTTAAAAATTCAGTTTCAGTTTAAAAATCTGACATTCAATCTATGAAAATGCTTGCAACAAAAATTTATGAAAACTCTTTTTGGACTCGGATGCCATCATCATATTTTAGATCAAATTTTTTTGGAATATATTATTTCAAAAAGAGACAACAACTGATACTTTATAGATTTTAAAACTATTAAATTCGAGCAGCCAAGGCGCAATGGTAGCACGCTTGCCTCAGATGCAAGGGTTCCGTGGTTCGAACCCATCTTTGAGCAAGTTTTGCAACACCGAATATGAAAAAATGAAATTCATGTTAAATGCTCTTCCCCGGTGCTCTTTGATAAAACAGTAAATCCTGACTATCTTAGCTAGGTCTAATCTTATTAGCTTTACCAATGTCTTATCTTATCACAGCCAATACAGTCTTGGGCACTTGAAATGAAAATTTAAAAAATTCAAAAATCATGTTTTTATCAGACTACCTTTTCAACCACTGAAAAACAAAGTTTTTAAAGTGGTTGAAAATCACAATAAAAATACTAATTAAAAGCAATTGTTTACTGATTTACCACAATGCAAGTAATAGTTGCTTTTATAACCCCTTTTTAAATGATATAGTGCATTGATTACATAACATTTATTTTATTTAGAAAAAAACTATTTGGGGATTATTCAAATAATGCGCGACAGTATTATGGGGAGAGGTCTCGAAAGTTTTAGCAAATATTACACGGGGAGGGTGGTTAGCTACAGTGTGACATGACAAAAAAACTTCTAATTTCAATTCTTGTTATAACGGAAATAGTAAAATTTTAGCAAAAAAAAAAAAAAAAACTTGGAGATTTTATTTTAAACTAATAGCACGCCATATACAAGATGAGGTGGGAGGCAGGGGAAAGGAGGAGTTAGTAAACATGTCACAAAATTTTACATAGGGAAAGTCTAAAAAAGCTCAAAAACGTGTTGCTTATTATTTAAACAGCCTCTAATGACAAATATTTGCTATAGATATACAAATCCTAATTTTTACTTTTATACAAATATATAATTTGACATATTGTCAAAAATTTTGACAAGGTAAAAATTGCCAAAAAATTGTTGACGTAATTAATGGACAGCCCCTCTAATAAAATTAAGTTTACAGTTAATTGCGTTCTATTTTGGCAAGTGGTTTTGTTGGCTCAAATAACCACGCTTCATATTTTAAGATCCTATTTAATAAAAAGATAGAGGGTCTCTGATCTCTCATATTGTTAAGTTGTGATATTTTTACGTAATAGAGAAAAGAGAAAGATTACATAAAATAAAAGAGAAAAAAGGGGATTACATTAATTCACTTATGCGGTCTAAATTAACGCAAAGTATAATGAACAACAACAACAAAAACAATATTTAAATTAACTAAAATAAAAGCATGAGGACAGTTAATAAATTTTGTACAAGTTCACAAATATTACATTTTTTTACAATTATACTTTTTACAATTTTAATTTCTCATATGATAATTAATATCGTATTTAATTGTGTTATTTTACATAATTTTACATAAATATTTAAACTTAAACAATTTTGATATCTTGTCAAATTTAATGAAGCGAATTATACAATGCACAAATTTATTAAGTTTTTGCTTTTTTGTTATTATAAAATACTTGACTTTCTAAAATTTAAAAATAAAATATTTTAAAATTTACTGTACGTTCAAATGAGAGATATTTACAAGCTAATAAAAAATAATTACTAAATATATACATTTATTATTCTTTTTTTGTTGCATGGAGTGCGTTTTTTAATTCCATTTCTTTAGTCTTTTTCTTCATTTGCAGAGTTTCTATTTTATCTAGGAAAAAAAAAAATATTAAGAACAATTTTCATGTTATATTTGTTTATACAAAAGATATTTATAAAATAATTGTGATTTATTGAGTATAGAGAGGTAGAGAAAAAGCAGTCAGTGGAGGAGAGTGGATGGAAATATTGAATTAAAATTGGAGAGAGGCAAAGAGTGGCAAAGTTATTATATTGTTATTTTTATTTTATAAATAATTTGTATTGTACAGTTCTTCACAAAAGTTTTAATATAAATAAAAATAAAATTTCTTATTAAAGTATCAAAGAAACAAAAAATTTATAAATCTTAGATAATAAGGATTATTTAAAATGCCAGAAATAGTTTGAAATTTTTTTGTAAAAAACAAGTCGTAAAGAAAAGAATAACAAAAAATAAAATAAAAAGCACGTTAGAAAGCGAAAGGAAAATAATAAAAGTCAAAACAAAATCTTCTGTTGTCATAGCAAATTTTGGCAGTAAAAATTGAATAGTGTCATATGCGGTAAAAATTGAATAGTGTCATATGCGGTAGTGGTGTAGTGGTAGAGCGCTCGCTTCATAAACGAGTGGTTCGGAGTTCGATCCTCACCACGTCCCTGGTAGTACCGCGCTCAACTCGTTTTTCCGCGCAGCGGCCTTGTTCATCAAGGTTCGTGTTTCGGAGTTATAGAGTTGAGAGAGGGTTATAGCCACAAATAAGTAGCCTCCTCGTCTGTAGTGGCCTTCTCGGCCTTGAGGAGGTGAATTAAAATAAAATATATATATATATATATGCGACTCAAAGAAGACCATTGTTGAAAGTCACCAATGAATACAAAGCAGTAGAGAATCATCAGGTATTTGATAGCACATTCCTCATAAAGGTATAGGTTCAAATAATATATAGTTCAATATGTGTATAATGGTACAATATCCATATAAAAAAAAGGTTAAGAAACCATCAGTATCAAAATTTTAAAGTAGATCTAGAAACAATTTTTTCCAGCAGCTAAACGAATAGAGGAGACTTTGGAACAAAACAAATAAAAATATTGTCTTGGTTCGTACTACCAGCAGATTTAATTTCAATTAAGAACATATTTGGATGGAAAGGAAAATGGCTGATACAAGCAATGATCAGTTTAAAGATGTTTTTCAAAGCATTCTATTTAAAAAATTTTTTTACATAAAAATGACAGTCAATGTTCAACTATGTTAAAATGTCCTACAAAGCAAATAAGAATATTTTAAATCAAGTTTTTACTTTTGAAAATTTCAAAGTACTCTTGATGATAAATTACTGTTTTAACTTTTCCAAATCTGTTCTTTCTTCCAAACGCTCTATAAGGAAGCACATAAGTGTCCATGCACTTTAGAAATCCATACAACATTAATTTCACATTGACTTGCAAAAGTACTAATCAATGAAAGCATAACTTTATTTTGTTTTGCCAACCACAAGAATCAGACATAAATCTGATATTAAATTATTGTTATCATTGAAATTTTTCAAAAAGATACAAACAAATTTCTGTGTTATATGGGATCCATATATGTATGTTATGGCATGGTATGTATGTATGTTTATATGAATGTCTATATGTATTTTCTGCAGGAAAGAAAACCAAGAAACTGAAAAAGGGGTCTGTTAAGTTTAAAACAAAAGGTGATCAGGGAAACTGATGCAAAAACAGAATACTCAGTTTGAGATATTGAAAATTGTTTCATAAGTTGAAAAGAGGGTAATTCCACATTCATTTTCTTCAAACTCCTTTGGCTGTTGTATGTTAAAAAGAAAAGTGGATACAAAAAATTTCGTCCCAAAATGTTAAACTGTTCCCGAGATATTTTAATACTGACCTGGTTTCCCAAAATGACCCGGTTTTCATAACATTTTGAAAAAACATTTTTCTCAATTAAATGAGGAATAACAAAAGTAAAAACATGAAAATAAATATTTAAATAAACATTTATTATGATTTTACGATGCTGAATTCAGTAAATGTCCTAAATGCTAAAATATGAAGGGAACACAATTAAAAACTAATAAAACAACTAGTTTGTATAACATGACTTTAGGGCTGATTATTTCTAAGCACCACTGTTTAATTTTTTCTTTTTTACGAATTTAATATTTTTAGTTTATCTATCAATTTTAAAGGAAACAAGGAGCCCTTAAAATTCTGTCTGGCGACAAAAAGCATGAAATGTACTACTTATCCATTAACACCTGGAGTTGATATTGACAAAATTAAACCAGTCAATACAACATCACGATGGGTTCCCAACACAAATGCTGTACCAATTTTTCAGCGGGTTATGAATGAATTTATACAGGCTAATAAATTGGAAAACACAAATGTTTATCTCGACTATATATGTATTGGTGGAAAAGATGCCCAAGAGCACAGTTAAAATCTTAGCAACTTTCTATACGCAGCTAAAATCGCAAACAAACAAAATAAACTAAGAAAAGAGTAAAAAAAGTCACATCGAATTCTTAGGCCATATCATTGAAAATGAAACATAAAACCTGATCCAAAAAGATATGAAGAACCACTTACTCAGGCAAGAGACAATTTTCCAACCAGGGGGCTTGACCCAACAAGAAAATAAAGCAATTTAAAAGCTCAAAATTAAACTTGCAAAAGGTTGTCCAGTCTCTCCAAACTTCAAAGTTCCACTAACTATTGAAACAGATGCCTCTGACACAGCACTGGGAGGAACGATACTTTAACTAGGCAGACCCGTGGCCTTTTTCTTAAGAATACTAACAAACGCTGAAAGAAGACAAGCAATTGTTGAGAAAGAAACAGGTGCCATAGTAGAATGCTGTAGAAGATGGAAATAGTTGATTCAGTACAATATATCATTATAATTACAAACTAAAGATCCATTTCCCTTATTTTCAATAAACAGATTTCAAAAAAAAATTAAAAACGAAAAACTAACCAGATGGTATTTAGAATTAGCAGACATTAATTATACAATTTCATACAGACCAGGAAACTAAAATATTGTAGCCAATGTCCTTTCTTGATGTTGTTTGATTCAAAATACCAATAAAACCTTTTACAATATTTATTCCCAACTATGGAAATGAATATTGTAAAAAGTTTTATTGGTATTTTGGTATTTCAAGGCATTGGTATTTTGGTATTTCAAGGTCTTATTCAGGCAATGAGACCTTGCAAACGCTTTTCTATGGACTTGGTCGGACCTTTACAATCCACCACAGCTAATAAATACATCCTCGTGGTAGTAGACAAATACTCACACATTTGTATTCCATTGTAAGGATATAACAGCCAACACTATGATACGACACCTACTAAGTCTTTTTGATTATTTGGTACACCATCATCTATGCATACAGATCAGGGAACACAGTTGGAAAGTATAATACGGTTTAACAAAAGATCTTATCCCACTACAAGATATAAATCCATTAATAGAACCAGTCCAACAACAGTCTGATGGCTCGAACAATGATGAAACTGTCTTAAGTAACAACATCCACAATTCTGGAAATAGAAAACAAGATGAATTAAATGACACCAACAAACTAGCTTCACACCCACAGCATTTGTTTGGGAATCCAATAAAGGATAGCATCCACTGATCTCTATAATAACTGGATAGCGCAACTCTGAACAAAATTTTGAATTTTTTGACGCCAAAATCGCCATATTGGAAAGCCCCAGATATTTGAATAAGTAAGCCTTTTAAAAAATAAGTAAGCCTTTTAAAAAATTTAGTTATTATTTTCATTTTAAAAAAACCTTGAAGTAAGCGTTTGGCCTAGTTTTTCGACTAATCGCTTTAAAATCAGATTTCAGCTAAGTTGAATATACAATAATGTGCGGATTAAAAAAAGATCCCTGAGGTTCAGAGTGTTGTGCATATGGGTGCAAAAAAGGAAAAGAACTGAGGGTTGAAGAAGTAATATTTTAGGAAGTTAATATAATAATAATATTATTATCTACAATAAATCTTATATAGTTATTTTTATAGATATCAGTTCTTAATTAACATTCATATATATATATATATATATATATATATATATATATATATATATATATATATATATATATATATATATATATATATATATATATATATATATATATGTATACACACAAATAGATAGATACAAATGTAAATCAGTATGCACCTTTTGATTCTTAATTACCCTCTGCAAAATGCCTGAGGCTTGTAACATATTTGCAAAGTAAACAGCTTACACATTGTTGTATGAATCATTAGTTGGGCTATGTGAGTGTAACACAACCCAAAGGTTCCTTAGGCAGTAAATAGTGATTATATATATATATATATATATATATATATATATATATATATATATATATATATATATATATATATATATATATATAATACAAATAGATAGATACGAATGTATATCAGTATGCACCTTTTGATTTTTAATTACCCGGTGCAAAATGCCTGAGGCTTGTAACATATTTGCAAAGTAAACAGCTTATTCATTGTTGTATGAATCATTAGTTGGGCTATGTTAGTGTAACTCAACCCGAAGGTTTCTTAGACAGTAAATAGTAATTGTATATATATATATATATATATATATATATATATATATATATATATATATATATATATATATATATATATATATATATATATATACACTTTAATAAAACATTTTAATAAAACAATTACTGGCTGTTGTTTCAGAAATTACTAGATAATGGGTTACCCAAAAAACTTGTTAGTTTGCTTACATTTTGGTATAGTAATCAACAAATGTTTGTTCGATGGCAAAAAACAAAATCAAATAGTTTTAGAGTTGTCCCCACTTCTATTTAACTTTTACATACAGAATATGATTTTATTAATCTCAAAACTACGTATTGGATGTAATATAGGTGGCTTATGCTGATGATATGGTTTTAATTGCACCATCTTGGTATTCTCTTCAAAAACTAATTAACTTTACAAATAAGGAATCTTCCTTAATTAACATATTCTTTAACACAAAGAAAACT